TAATATTGTTTTAATGAGTCCGTAGATGCAGGTGGCTCAGGACTGTTCCTTATGGCAGTCTATGGGGGAGGCTTATGTCCAGCAGTGGACGGATAATGGCTGAAATGATGATGATGGTGATTGTACAAATATTAATATTGTTATACCTGGAATCCCGTCGCGTTAAGTCCCGATTGTGAATTTAAAATATTAATTTTAACTATAAAAATAACCGGTTTCACTTCGGTTGACTAGTTTTGCCAGCACCTGGGAACCTCAATGGTGAGCGAGTGTTCTCGACTAAAATACACTAAGTCGATCCGGTTATTTTTGCAGTTAAAATACAATGTGTACTTTCAAAACACTTAACAATAAAATATTTATTTTTAACCGACTTCAAAAAGAAGGTGATTCTCAATAAGGTTGTCTTTTTTGTTACTTTATAACCGTCAGTTCTAAACTGATTTCGAATTTTTTTGAAAGAATATATTATATATCCCGTAGACATTTTATCAAAGTCGGTTTAGGAGTTTAATTTTAAAGTCGAAGAAAGAATGGCAAACAAACTGACGGCCCACCTGATGGAAAGTGGTAACCGACGCCTATAGACATGAGCAGTACCATGTACATAACAGAGTATACTGTTTCGCCCATGATACCCCCCCCATGCGTTGGCATTCTTGAGGACTCAAATATTACTCCTCTGTACCCTGTAAATTCACGCCATATCCCACCTTTCAAACCGAAACACAGTCGTGCAAACACAACTGCCTTACGGTTGAAACACGAATGGGACAGACTTTAATTATGTTGCTATTTCAATTTTTTTTTCTTACGTAGTACAAAAATTTCTTTTAGTCACTGATCTCTTAGAATAATTGACCATAGTCTGTGATAATGTCGGCAAGGGTTGACAATACATTATAACATAAAACGCGCACTACGCATAACACTTCCAACCATATATTTTCCACTCTAAAAGCTTGGCCATAGCCCAACTGCAATAAAGAAGAATGCTCAATCTTCTGCGTTCATAGACCTTTACGGGCTTACTACAAAAAAAGATTTAAAACACTGTTATCGGTGTAGGAGTGTTTATTTGTAATTTTATGTGTCACATGTATACACAATATGTAGATTATTAGATAATTTATTACTACATATACCTTTTTTTTTGTGAGTTTATGGCATAAATTGAATGTTTGCATCCTAGGACTTGGCCGCTTGGACTGCATTTTCTGTAGCTTCCATTAAGTCCTGCGAAGAACAGGTTTAAGTTAATTTTTAATTTTTATTAAGACAAACTTTCTTTTGTTTAGACATGAACAGTAGTTAGACAGTTAGACACTTTTGTAGTAAAATGTCTTAATATGTACTGAACGTTAGTCTATCGTAAATTTAATTTTTTGGTGGCAAGACGTTTAGGATTGTCAATCGTAATGTTACTATTAGTAAGTTATATAATAATAATATACCGGAGGGAGACTTTGTACAAAAGTCGATTGCTTGGGTACCTCTGTCCCATTCGTGTTTGAACTGTGAAGCAGTTGTGTTTGCATGGCTGTGTTTCGGTTTGAAGGGTGGGATATGGCGTGAATTTACTGGGTACAAAGGAATAACACCTGAGTCCTCAGGAATGGCAACGCATGGGGGGTATCATGGGCGAAACAGTATACTCTCTTATGTCCATGGTACTGCTCATGTCTATAGGCAACGGTTACCACTTTCCATCAGGTGGGCCGTCAGTTTGTTTGCCATACAAAGTTGTATAAAAAAAATTATTCAAGTAAGATACAGTTGCCTAAAGTACAATTTACAATTTTTACAATTTATATTGAACGAGAAAAAGTCTGCATTACCATCAGTCCCCAAACTAGGCCAGATCTTTATCTTGGGGATTAAAAATTAGGGACTAAAGACTATGGGACTAAAGATTGGGGACTATATAAGAAACGAAAAATTGAAAGGTTTGCCTGTCAATTGAAAGTACAAAAGTTCGTTGAAGCATCTAGAACTGTTTACGTACGCGGCGGGTTTCTTGCGCAACGATTGTTGTCATAATCTAGTGTGTATGACTCACCCTACTCCTTGATATCTAAAGACGTAGAGCGGTTTATCTGTTACGTACATCACACGCGGCACCCAAGGATCATTGTAATGACAATTGCTGGGTTTAGAGGTCACTTTAAATGTGTAAACATGTGGGTGAATCCACATATTTGCCTATTTTAATAATATACAATAGTGGGGTACTAGTGGTAAATGAAGTATTAAGGATGAAGTCAGGTTAGTTGGCCTATTGTGGCTATTTCAAGAGCAGTTAATCACGGTGATCAATCAAAAACAATTGAAAAATGTTAAATTATTTTCAAAAATTGACAGACATTTACAATTTGCCATACTTCGTTATGAACGTTTTTAATAATGAGGGTAGTCATAAACGCTTGGACTACAGCCTGCGCATCCTAAGATCGAATCCGTAATCAGACATCAAATCGAAAGAAATTCTAAATTCAAACATTCAAATCTAATGCGCCTAAGAAACATCTCGTCGCTCGTCGGTGTGTTTTATTCGTTTAAAAAAAGAATATTGAGTATTCCTATTCAACGCTAATTATTGGAATGAATGGAAATTGTTTTTTTTTTCTGCAGAATTTTAACGAAGAAGGTAACATGGCTGTTGTGTACAAATGAGTAATATCTGGGTCAAGTGTTAATTTGATTTGATTTACACTGGAATCACACGCGATAATTTCGCGCGGTGAAATACGACGTGGGCGCTTAACATGCATAATTTTGGCATAGTACAACTAATGTTTTGCCGCTTCTGTTGATTAAAGCGTTATGGAAATTTCCAAGCGATGTGAGCACAAGCGAAATCTGGGTACAGGTGTTATAAGTTTTTTTTTATGGATGATAATGGAATGGTAACCCCGCCTGTGCTATCGCTATACATTGGCGGGGCACCAGTGAGGGATGATTGGTGGAGGTGAAAAGGCAGATCAGTTAGCCCATCGTGACGAAGTGAAATAAATTAGTCATGATGGTTTCCAGGGGGTACCGCGTGGTGGTCGATCTGATAAGGTATATTGATAGCAATGGGGATTAACTCTCCCCATTACTAACTATCCCTTCCCCCCGGGTGTTATAAGTTTGGTCATTCGTAAAAAAAAAGTGATAGAAGAAGTTTCAAGTATTACAGTACTCCATTAGTCTTACACTAGAAAGGGAGGGGAGATCTTGGCAGGGTCGCCGTGTAAAGTGCCAGCTCGGGAGATGTATTAATACGACCGAATCTTGATTTATACTCTGTTTATTAATAAAAGAATACAGTTTATATACAATCATTGGGCTACATGGCCGTAGCTTAAGGGGGGTGCTAACAAAGAACAATGCCCCTACCTTAAAATGAAAGGCTTTAAGAAAATTAGACACATTCGTTTTTCGAAGTTACTTAATTATGGATTCTGTCCTACCAAAAAGTTATTTTGGCCTACTTTAAACTTGGGTTTAGCTACGATCCTGTTGGGCTACGTACTTACTTTTACAGTTTCTTATACACCATTACAGAATTTTAGACGATGGCAATTTACCCAGGCGAAGCACACAAAGTTTCCTCAATAAAAAAATTCTTTGAATGTGTACTCATGATGTAAGATTTGTTTGAAGATATTTTTTTATGGTGTACGCTTTATTGCACACTATAAGAGTTACAGAACAGGTTTACCTGGAAATGAGATCACAGTAGGTGAACTTAACTCTATAACAATTATATTTGTTCTTGATCTTTAATTATTGAGCTACGCAAGTGCTGTGTCAGCATTGTCATGAGCGTTACATGCGTCCTTGTCTGCTAAACATAAAAAAAAATATCCACTCGGATATATGCTGTTAAAACTCGTCATACATACAAGCCGAGTGCATTTATGAATGAAGCCGTCTCATTGAATAAACGCGTAGAATTAGCAATATGATTCTATTACGCGGTGCGTGACGCAACCAGCGCGCGTCACGCTGCCAGCGTTGTGTTACAGGATGATTGTGACCGTAAACTTTTGTTGGACACTATCCTGTGGGCATACGTGGAAGTAATAAATACATTAGTGAATGAGGAACGCTACGTGTCACTAGTAAAGTACTTGTTTTGTTTTATTAATAGCAAGTTCATTCATGCGTTAGACTCTTCAAAATACCATATATGTAGAGTAGAATCCAAGCTGTACGTGAAATGGAGAATCTCATGCTCATTATGTCAGCCTATCCACTGGTGAACAAAGGCCTTCCCTTTTGGAAGTTTTGCCAGTAGTTACCACCCTTAGTAGGCGGATTGACTACCGTAGTTAGGTTTTTGTAAAGTTTTAATAGGGACGCTGCCGCCAGTCCCTCGACTGTTAAGTTCTCTTAGTCGCTTCTTACTATACCCACGAGAAAGGAAGGGCTAGTCCATTATATGCCGAGACTACATGGCAAAATTGAGAATGTATTATATATATAAGGGCAGAAACTTTGTGAATCAAAAATGTCAAAAAAGACCAATTATTTGAAGCTTCGTAAACTGGACTCGACTTGTAGTGTTGGGAGGCTCCAATTTTTTGTCGTTTTTCCAAGCATTTTCTTTATGTCATTTATTTGGTTTCACTGGTAGAACATTTTCTTCAAATGATGCTAATTATTTCTTTGACACCCAGTATAACCCGTGTATCAGCCGTTAATTTTCCACTGCTGAACTTTCCGCTCTCTCATAAGGGGGTTTTACCAGTAGTTGCTACGCTTGGCAGGAGGGTTGGTTTTGGTGGTGTTTTAAGAGGGACGCTACTGTCCATCCCTCCACCATAAGATCTCTTAGACCAAAGGTTGACTAGGAGACGATGCTATGTAGCATTAAGTCCGTCTTTTGAACTAAACATTCTATATGTAAAGTGGTTAATAAATAGTATATAAATATAATATGCTAATACAGTTGTATAACTGGATTGTCCTCTTAGAAGATGAATCACCCTGTTGTTTACTGTTTGTTACAGGCCAGTGGGAGAAGCTGCCACTGTGGACTCTGGAGCGGGAACTAGTGGTTCAGGACATTGCCGAGAAGGAGAGCATCAAGGTGCTGGAGAAGGCCACGGTGCCAATCGTTAAGATGACAGACAAATACTCTGATGTCAAGGTAAAGCCACTGACGTACTTGCCGTTGAGCAATTGTAACCAGAGGCAGGTTGCATAGAAGTCCTCTGCTTGAGTAACTCTGTCCCGTATATATACACGCTATATAGCTATGTATGTACTGGCGGGGCGCCAGTAAGATATAATAGGTGAGGATGAAACCAGGTCAGTTAGCGTGTCGTGACAAATTAACTAAGAATTGACCACGATAGTTACCACGCGGAAGCGCGTGGAGGTGGACCTGATAGGGCCAATAGGGTATTTTTTGGTTGAATGTATTTTTTTTGATAGATGATAATGGAGTGGTAACCCCGCCTGCGCTAACGGTATACGCTGGTGGGGCACCAGTGGGGGATGATAGGAGGATATGAAAAAGCAGATCAGTTAGCTCATCGTGATAAATATACCTGGTATTCAACAATTGCATTTCCAGGGGGGACCACGTGGAGGTTGACCTGTCAGGGTATATTGCTAGCAATGGGACTAGTAGTCCGCATTACTAACAATCCCTTCCCCCCGATTGAATGGATTATATTAGAATGGTTACCGCGCCTGCGCTTACGGTATACACTGGCGGGGCACTAGTGGCGGATGATAGGTGAGGATGAAGCAGGTCAGTTGGCCCATAGTGGCTAACAATAAATCAATCACAATAGTTCTTAGCCTGATAGGGGTATATTGCTAGCAATGGGGTTGTTAATTCTCATTACTACCAATCCCTTCTTTTTTTTTTTTTTTTTTTTTTTTATGGATGATAATGGAATAGCAACTCCACCTGCGCTAACGGTATACGCTGGCGGGGTACCAATAATGGATGACAGGTGAGAACGAAAAGGCAGGTCAATTAGCGCATCGTGATGAATATATCTGGAATACAGTACGATGGTTTCCAAGGGGGGCTAAGTGGAGCTCGACCTGATAGAGTATTTTGCTAACAATGGGACTGGCAGTTCGCATTACTAAAAAATCCCCCCCCCCCCCCCCGTAATGGGACTGGCCATTACCAACGACTCCTTCCCTCAAATAACGAAGCACCATCCTTGTATCGGCAGGTGGACATCTCATTCAATATGAGTAGCGGCGTCAAGAGTGCCGAGCTCATCAAGCAGTTCAAGGTGAGTGTACGTAGACACTATCTGGCCCTCTAGACAAATGGCAAGCAAATTCGTCGATGGTATCGACAAAGCTAGCGAGTTAGTGAGATAGAATGATATAGCAACGCCGGATGACTCATTCCAACGCACGGAATCGCTAGCGATGTCGATTCATTGACGAACTCGCTCGCCACTTGTCTAGGGGGCCAGAAACAGGATTGTTATTCTCTCCTATTACCTATTATAAATGTATTCCGTCTGTTTACCTCATTGAATTAGTTGTTATTTTGCAGCAGAGTCATTATTTTGTCGATTTCAATTATTTTATTTAATGGCTTATGTTTAAAATTAACCTTTTTACATACAATGACAATTGTAGTTTTTTATTGATAAACAATTGGAATAGAACAAAAAAAAATACATACAATACATAAAGCAACAGACGGCAATTTTGTTTACAACTATATGTAATATATATATATATATATATATATATATATATATATATATATATATATATATATATATATATATATTTTTTATAAAAAATAGAAAATTGATAAACAATTGAAATAGAACATATAAAAATACGTACAATACAGGTGTTATGCAAACACAACTGCTTCACGGTAGAAACACGAATGGGACAGAGGTGCCCAAGCAATCGACTTTTGTACAAAGTCTCCCTCTAGAACAAGAACAAGAACATACATACAAGAACCAGCACATTTTATAAACAGCTTAAGTTGGTCAGTATTCAGTATCACATACTGGTTGGTTGGTACTCATGCATACTAAACGTAGCGGAATTAATATAATTCTAAACGTCTGACTAGTTTATTTACATGGTCTGATTACAAAAAAAAAAAAATCATTCAGTCGTTGAATGTGACTGAAGGTATGCAAAAAAACATATTTTATCTATTGTATGCGTTTATATATCAATACATATATAAAAATCGTAACTGGTCGCTGTCTATATATAGCTTATGGTTAGAATAATTAAATAGTTATTATATTTATACCATAGATTGGTCAATTACATATTCTCCATTTGAATACCAAAAAAATAGTATTTTTAATGACATTTTTTTTTTATATTATTTTTGGAGGGTTAGACATTCACAAAATAAAATCGATGAACAATATATTTATTTTTATTTTTGTGGGTAGATCTTTGCAAAATAAATTCGGTGGAGACGCTTATTCGAAATTATATATAGTCAATGAATAGCCATGTAACAAATAAAAAAATATCAATCAATCAATATCAATACATATAATGAAACCGTAACTGGTCGCTGTCTACGTGGAAGATGTATAAGAAAAACTATTTTATATATATATATATATATATATATATATATAAAGTCTATATACTTTATGAACGCAATAGAACCCAAAACAATGTTTTTTAGAATTTTTGTCTGTTTGTCTGTACGTTTGCGTACGCTAATCTTAGAAACGGCTTAACAGGCACAGTCACATATAAAATGCTATAAAATATATACCGATCAGTTAAACTAAAATTTAATGAAGGTAGGTTATATATCATATTTTAACTCATAGGATATTTTATTTAACGATTCACGCGGGCAGCGCCGTGGTAAACAGCTAGTCTTTTATACATTTTTAATTAAAAAAAATATATACATATAATCATGTTCATGAAATAATGCGGTAGTCGGAGACATCTGTTTGACTGCGGGCGTTATGGTGAATGTAACATTGTAAGTACCCTCATTTCACCGAGTATATTAGAATTTTATGTGTCACAGTTATTACCCAATTAATTAGCACTGTTATTGTTGTTTTTTTGGTGTTTTTCATCATTGGAAAGTTAGTCGGAAATTATAATTGACATGTTTTGGTGTCGGGCGGATCCGAACTAGCTGCTCTTTTTTAATGGATAATAACGGAATGGTAACCCCGCTTGCGCTATCGGGATACGCTGGCGGGGCTAGGTGCTCTTTGTATTCATGGTACATAAGAAAAAACAATGAATTTTGCCAATAATCTTACGTTCTCGGTCTTTTTTATTCGATTCTGTGTGTGATACGGAATATTGGGTGAAAATGGAATGGTATCCCCACTCGTGCTATCGGTATACACTGGCGGGGCACCAGTGAGGGATGATAGCTGAGGATGAAGCAGATCAGTTAGCCCATCGTGACGAATTCAACAAGAATTGTTCACGATGGTTTCCAGGGGGAACCACGTGGAGGTCGACCTAATGGAGCATATTGCTAGCAGTGGGGCTGTTAAACTCCATTGCTAACAATTCCTTTCCCCCCTGTAATACGGAATAAAATATGGACAGATGTAATAAAATAATAAGATTCAATTTGTATCAAGTAACTGTGACAGCGGTTGGCCGTGTGGTCCCGGCATAGAATGGGCCACCCCTACCTTTCTCGTGGGTATCATAAGAGCCGACTAAGGGAGGGCGAGTGATGGGCAGCAGCGTCTCTCTTAAAACATCTTTAAACCTCTGACTGCGGTTGCCAATCCGCCTGCCAAGCGTGGCAACTACTGGCAAAACCTCCCCAAAATGGAGACTTATGTTCAGCAGTGGACAGTTAAAGGCTGATATAGTAATGATGAACTTTAACAGTGAGCTGTCTGACGGCCAGCCTGATGGAAAGTGGCAACAACACCAAGCACATCATAGAATACACTGTGACTTCCGTAGCATCTCTCATTTTTACCATTTCGGAGGACTGACATGTCGCGTCAGCGTACCGTCTAATTTCACTGCCATGTTTTTTCTATGCAACTCAGAATGGTAAACAAGCTGACGGCCCACCTGTTCGAAAATGGTAACCGTCGCCTATAGACATGAGCAGTGCTATGGACATGACAGAGTATACTGTTTAGCCCATGATACCCCCATGCGTTGTCATTCCTGAGGACTCGGGTGTTATTCCTCTGTACACTGTAAAATTATAATTAAATAAATATTAGTTAATTAAACAATGTATAATTTAATTAAATAAATATTAGATAATTAAACAATGTATAATTTAATTAAATAAATATTAGTTAATTAAACAATGTATAATTTAATTAAATAAATATTAGATAATTAAACAATGTATAATTTAATTAAATAAATATTAGTTAATTAAACCATGTATAATTTAATTAAATAAATATTAGATAATTAAACAATGTATAATTTAATTAAATAAATAATAATTTAATTATAATTAATTAAACGTAATTAGTTTAATTTATTAAATAACAATTAATTTAAATAATGCCCTACCTCACGCACCGCGCAATTTGGCCGTGGAATGTAAAAATGTCGTGAATCCACACAATGTGTGTGTTACGCAAGTTGCGCGTACGTTACGATTGTTACGGTACACACGCGGCGACCTTGTAACCGCGAGAATTGTTTATATCTATTCGACAATCGAAAGTATACGCTTGCACGGGTGACCCAGTGTAACGTAAATTAATACGCAACTGGTCCCGTGTGGAAGTAATGCATTTTACAGTAAATACTATAACGTGCTAGCCTACCTACCGTCGGTTATTTTGTTTTTAATTTAATAACAATTGTCCTATTTTTCAAGTTGGAGGAAACGGTACATATTTACAAAATTTTATATAAAACCTAATTAAAAAGAATTTTTAACACTGGTGAAGTAGTTTTTGAGTTAATTAATTACAAACAAACAATTGATTTTTTTCTTTTCTATAATATTAGTATAGATTAGAGGGTCGCCCTAATATATATACTTTTTTTTTTTAATGAATGACTATGAAATGGTAACCCCGCCTGCGCTATTGGTATACACTGGCGGCGCACCAGTGAGGGATGATAGATGGGGATGAAGTCATGTCAGTTGACCCGTCACGACGAATTTGACGATAATTAATCATGATAGTTTCCAAGGGGAACCTAGTGGAGGTCGACCTGACAGTGTATATTGTTATCAATGGGGATTAACCCATTACTAACAATCCTTCTCCCCCCAATATATATACTCGTCGATGTATCAACAAGTATACATACGTTTACTTCCACTCAGTGGCCACTATTAATATTTATTTATTTGTCGTTCGGCAGGAGAAGTACCCAGTGCTGTCCCCGCTGGTGATGGTCCTGAAGCAGTTCCTACTGCAGCGCGATCTGAACGAGGTGTTCACGGGCGGCATCTCGTCGTACTCGCTGATCCTCATGTGCATCAGCTTCCTGCAGCTGCACCCGCGGCCGGAGCGCGTGCGCCAGTGCAACAACCTCGGCGTGCTGCTCATAGAGTTCTTCGAGCTGTACGGCAGGAAGTTCAACTATGTGAAGACGGCGATCAGGGTGAAAAACGGAGGCTCCTACGTCTCCAAGGATGAGATACAGAAAGTAAGTGGCTTTTTTTGGACAGTGATTTATTGAAGATTATCAACATATCTATATAGTTTTATACCAGTGGGAGACTTTGTATAAAAGTTGTTTGCTATGGCACCATAGTTCCGTTCATGTTTCTACCGTGAATCAGTCTTGTTTGCAGGACTGTGTTCGGTTTGAAGGGTGGGATATAGCAGTGAATTTGCAGGGTACAGAGGAATAACACCTGAGTCCTCAGGAATGGCAATGCATGGGGGGTATCATGGGCGAAACAGTATACTCTGTTGTGTCCATGGTACTGCTCATGTCTATAGGCGACGGTTACCACTTTCCATCAGGTGGGCCGTCAGCTTGTTTGCTATTCTAAGTTGAAAAAAAAATAATAGTTATATTTTACACTACAATAAAGTTTTGGTAAGGTTGTTACATTGCAATACAGGTATATAACAAACTTTGCACTAATATTTTAAACACACAATCGGAACTTAACGTGGTGTAAAAACCTTTACAGGTAAATAAAACTCACATACTGGTAAAAATAATAATTACCTACATAAAGAAGCAGGTATGGCGGGCTCTTCTCAACAGATAACATCGCGGTTCCCCCTGGAAACTATCATGGTTAATTCCTGATGAATTCATCATAATGGGCTAACTGGCCTGTTTTCATTCTCATCTATCACCCTTCACTGGTGCTCCGCCAGCGTATCCCGTTAGCGCAGGCGGAGTTACCATACCATTTTCACCCATCAAAAAAAAAAAAAACAGATAACAATTTTCCGTACCCTACAGTAGATAAAAAAAAGTGACGATTAAAAAGGTGCTTGTAAACAAGTCTATATTTGAATAAAGGTAATTTGAATTTATACCACGTGACGTCTGGTCGAGTCGTTGAAGAGGCGCGCGGTAAAAAAGAAACAAACATGTTAACAAAATCATTTCCACATTTATAAGTGACTAGCAATGAAAATGAAATAGTATCGGTATACAGACGTGTGGCGGTACCATGATGATTGCACTAACTAGGAATTTAACAGCGACTTTGTTCATGGAGACCGCGTGGAGGTCGACCAGATTAGAGTATATTGTTGGCAATGGGGTCATTAGTCCTCATTAATAAAAATACTGCCCTTTGACCATTATCCTCCTCAATTATTCTCTCTCAATTATTTATTCGGGGTCGGTCAATTCCTTCCCTCTTAATTTGTGAATAATTAATTATTTAGTATTTAATAAACTATGCCGTTTCCGTCAACTATTTCGGCTTCACTTAGAAGTTTTCTCTTCAGCGTGAGTTCGGTGCTTACGTTGAAGTATGTCGTCTCGTACTTCGGGTCCCAGTTTACAGAGGCCGTGAAAATCAATGTTGTTAACACTACGAAACTGAAAAACAGCAATTAATAATAAATACAGGAGAAATTTGTGGATCGGATAATTGAATATAATAGTTTATTGTTTAGAAAAAGAAGACAGACTTGTTTTTTTTCTCATTTAAAATAAATGTCGAGAATATTTACATAAATTTCACTGAATTAGTTGTTATACATTGTTAGTAACCTTATCACTACATTATTCTAATCAAATGAACAGGGGGGAAAGGGATTGTTAGTAATGGAGACTAAGAATCCTATTGCTAGCAATATATTCAACCAGGTCGACCTCCTCGCGGTTCCCCCTGGAAACTATCATGGTTAATTCCTGATGAATTCATCATGATGGGTTAACTGGCCTGTTTTCATCCTCATCGAGCACCCTTCACTGGTGCCCCGCCAGCGTATCCTATTAGCGCAGGCGGGGTTATCACTCCATTTTCATCCAATAAAAAAAAAAAATCTATTAAACAGTTTTTTTTTAATGGGTGATAATGGAATGGTAACTCCAGCCGCGCTATCGTTATACACCGGCGGGGTACCAGTGAAGGATGATAGGTGAGGATGAAGTAGGTCAGTTAGCCCATCGTTACGAATTCATTGAGAATTATTCACGATGGTTTCCAGGGGGAACCACGTGGAGGTCGACCTAATAAGGCATACTGCTAGCAATGGGGCTGCCAAACTCCATTGCTAACAATCCCTTTCCCCCCATTTAAACAGTTTATATAAAGTTGTCCTTCAGCCGGGAATCCCCGTTTATAAAAACATGACTGTCAGTCACACAGTCTATGACGGACATGTTTTATAAATGCATGGTGAATCCCTGCGAATTGCCAAAAGATTACGTGCTACTATCTAAAGATAGCAATTGCCCATTGTACTACATGATTCATCGCTTTATCTCTATGTAGGCTAATTACATTCGCACCTATGCCATAATTTTGCTTCTTGCTTCGTGTTTTTTTTTATACAACTTAGAATGGCAAACAAGCTGACGGTCCACCTGGTGGAAAGTGTTAACCGTCGCCTATAGACGCCTATATTGTAGGAGACGGGAGTTAATGCAATATTTTTTTTAATGCAATTTAGAATGGCAAACAAGCTGACGGCCCACCTGATGGAAAGTAGTAACCGTCGCCTATAGACATGAGCAGTACCATGGACATAACAGAGTATACTGTTTCGCCCATGATACCCCCCATGTGTTGCCATTCCTGAGGACTCAGGTGTTATTCCTCCGTACCCAGTAAATTTACGCTATATCCCACTCATCAAACCGAAACACAGCCATGCAAACACAACTGCTTCACGGTAGAAACACGAATGGGACAGAGGTGCCCAAGCAATCGACTTTTTACAAAGTCTTTTTCTGGTGAATGGTTTCACGCAGTGTTCGATCTGATATGGAATATCGCTAGTAATGGGGCTGTTGAAACCTATTTACTAGCAATCCTTATCCCCTCTAAGAGACGATGTGGCTACTTGTATTCTAGAACTCAATTCTTTCTGATATTTGGTGTAAAGTTAGTGAGGTATATGTTTTTTATACCACTGAGATGGCAAACAAGCATACGACCCACACGATGGTAAGTGGTTCCCGTAGCCTATGAACACCTGCAATACCAGAGGCATTACGCGTGCGTTGCCGACCTTGAAGAAACCTCTTTATCCCTCTTTTGAAGAACCCCATGCTGTAGTCTCTGGGGAAAACCTCGGCAGGGGGCTCATTCCATAACCTGAGTGTTCGTGGGATAGATTAGATAGATTAGAAAACCAATTACCATCACCAGTCACTTACCATCAGGTGAGCCGTATGCTCGTTTGCCCCTTTTTTTTTAACGTCTGGAAAACGCTTTATGCAGACCCATACACTTTGTGGGAGGTAAATGGGTACCTTCGGAATCCCTCCGTAAGGTGGGGGTGTGTGTTGTAAAAAAAAATCCTTTACCAATTTTTCAGTTTATTATTTGACCTTATTCGCAGGAAATGAACGACGGTCACCGTCCGTCGCTGCTGTGCATAGAGGACCCGTTGACTCCGGGCAACGACATTGGCCGCTCCAGTTACGGAGCGCTACAAGTCAAGCAGGTATGCTGGTAGTTGCCTCGTTTGGCGTGTCATTATTTACGAACGACGAATTAAAGATCGAGGCCGGACCACATGAAGTAATTTGTTAATTACTTTAAATATGTGTATCGAAGCATTTGGCGTTTCATTGTGTCTGCCTACCCTAATGGGAGACAGGCGTGACAGATATGTATGTATGTATGTATGTGTGTACTAAGGTAATAAGATTGACTTGTGACTCATTGAGGTCTCATCAAGAAGTCACAGAGTGTATTGTAAAATGAACGGGTGTAAGTGGGATTTCAATATGTCTCAAATAGCCAATTTAGTTTAGTATTATAATTAAGTACATGATACCGCCTTTTTTTTTATAATCTGGTCAATAAGGATTTTTTTTAAATGTTTATTTATTTATTTTACACTTAATTGCACCAAGTAAAAAGAAAAATAACAAATACAGTAAATATTAATGAGAAGTGATACAAAAGGCGGCCTTTTCGCTAAGCAATCTTTTCTAGGCAACCTTTGGGTAGAGGACATTGAGAAAAAGACAATATTTTTTTTAATAATGAAAACATAATAGCCGAATCCGTTCAGTCGTTCTCGAGTTTTCCGTTTGGCGATTAATTATGATTATTTGGAGCGTTGTTGAATGTGGTGTGCGTGCTGGGCAGGCGTTCGACTACGGGTACATCAGCCTGCAGCAGGCGGTGGCGCCGCACAACGCGCTGCTGGCGCGCTGCAGCGTGCTGGGCCGCGTGGTGCGCGTGACGGACCACGTGCTGCAGTACCGGCGCTGGGTGCGCGACACCTTCCAGCCGTACTTCTTCCCGCGCGCGCCCGCGCCCGCCGCCGCCGCCGCCGCGCAGCCCACGCCCACGTGCACGCCCACGCGCACGCGCACGCCCACGCCCTCGCCCTCGCCCTCGCCCTCCGACACCGACCCCGTCAGTATACTATACACACGTCACTATATAGTTCTGTCATGTTCATGCTTCTGTTCAAATTTGTAAGCAACGGTCGCCACTTTCCATCAGGTGGGCCGTCAGCTTGTTTGCTGTTCTAAATTGCATAAAAAAAGTGTACAAATAAAAATGTATTTTTATTTTAATCCTTGATGATCAAAATCAAGGATTAGAATTAATTCAGTTTTCAGACAGTCGAAGCCTTTTTTTATTACTAAAGGTTTTATAAGTACATATTACTGTATTTCAATTTTGTATCATTTATGAATTACTATAAATAAGTATTAGAATGTTTGAAATGTCAAAAATAAATTTTAAATAATATGTACGTACGGTTGTTGTAACAGGAGTGGTCGGATAGCGGGTCCCGCGCCGCAGGCACGCCCCCCTCCCCGTCGCTGCCGTCGACGGGCGGCGGCGGTGGTGGCGGCGGCGGCGGCGGCGGCGGCGTGTCCGGGGGCGGCGGGCCCCGCACGTCGCCGCCGCCGCTGTCGGCGCTGCAGTGCTCCTCGCCGACCCCGCGCCGCGTCTCCGCACATCAGAGCCTCATCATACACCACATCACCAGCAACTCCGACTTTAACAATATACCCTCAGGTACGCTACATACAAACATACGTGTACATATAACAAAAATGCCGAATTGTTCTGTATTAATTTATGCTGTAAAAATACACATTTACCAGAGGGAGACTTTGTACAAAAGTCGATTGCTTGGGTATCTGTGTTCCATTCGTGCTTCAACCGTGAAGCAGTTGTGTTTGCATGGCTGTGTTTCGGCTTGAAGGGTGGGATAAGGCGTGAATTTCCTGGGTACAGAGGAATAACGCATGAGTCCTCAGGGATGGCAACGCATGGGGGATATCATGGGCGAAACAGTATACTCTGTTATGTCCATGGTACTGCTCATGTCTATAGGCAAAGATTACCACTTTCCATCAGGTGGGCCGTCAGTTTGTTTGCCATTCTAAGTTGTATATAAAAAAAAAAAAAACTTGAACATAACCAACCAACTCGATCTTTACTCGGCAGGCGTAATACAACGGTATGGTGGAGGCGACAGCAAGAACCGCAACCCGCGCTCGTTCCCCAAGCAGCGGCGGTACGGGTCGCCGCCCGCGCCGCCCGTCCCCGCCGCCCCCGCCCCCGCCCACGCCCCCGCGGCCGCCCGCCGCCCGCCCGAACAGCGCCACCACAAGAAGCGGCGGCAGTACCCGCAGCCGCCGCACCCGCCGCGATGACCGTGCGCCAACCACTACTCTCACTAGGTTAGCTAGCTGTAAGGACTAGGTACTCCAAATATGGACTCGAGTCGCTGACTAAGTGTCGCTACAGAACGCGAGCTACGTACAAGTGGCTCGTAGTAAGTACACGCGGCTGCACGTGACCACTCGTCGACGCTTTTAGATAGGGTATGGCCGTGTTAAGGAGTTATTACACTATCAAATATAAAAGATTATAATGTGTATTTATGGATTATAAATATAGGATATAATAGGATAATATGTGGTCATACTATATTGAAAATGCATCACTAGGTCAGTAATATATAAAATAATATATAAAAAACCGCTTAACAAATTTTAATAAAATTTTATGAATGTCTTATCTTGAACTCGAGAGATAGATTTGTTTGTACCGATAAGAGAGAACGTATCCGACAGGTAGCAAAGACAAGGGGCAAAATAATGTATGCTAGATCAGCTAGTGAAATAAATAATATTTAAAAATAAATTAATGGACTCAGATTTACATTCCTATATATTTCTTGTATAATATTCGGTCGATTTGATATATTTTCAGTATACACTTTTTGTATAATTTTGAATTTATACAATCTCTTATACAGCTTTAGACTGATGAAACTTCTTGTAACTTGTATTTATGGATCATAAATATATAATTATGTATATTTGGTAGTGTAATATATCCCTTAAGACTGGTTGGCTCTGACTCGATTGTTCGTTCGAGAGGACTGTATTCGCGTGTTGGTACCTACAGGTGACCACTTGTGTGCACCTTAGCTTCTGTAGTGATTTATATACTGAAGTGTTGAGACACGACTGAGATAAAACAATTGGTAGACAGTGTTGCCTCTGTAAAAATAATATCAAAAATACCTATCTGGTAACATCTCTATTTCCTGTCGGCTGTTATGTGGTTTTCATTATTATTGTTTTAAAGTTTATTTAAAAAAAATAGTCTACTGATAGGTTTACGTCAGATTTGTGTGCATTCAAGAATCAAAAGTTATTTTTGTACAAGATGTAATAGTACCTGTACAGGTCCAGCAACTTGAGGCGAGCATTCATTTATTGCTTATTGCAAGACAGAGACGGATCTGTTCCGCTTTTTTTTGTCTTATAAATGCTAATCAGTGTTCACTCAAGCCGCTTGATCGTCTACGCAGCCTTTTAAGCGTGGACTGGCACAAAAGTATTCGGTTATAAACATGGTCCATCAGTGTACATTGAGCCTAAATAGCTCGGTTAGAGAGAATAAAGTCTAGTACACAAGAGAATCATATGCTATATTAAGACAGAGTACTTGTTATGTTACCTCACGCGGGCGAGGTCGCAGGGCACAGATAATAAAAATAATAATAATGAAAAGTACAAATGATGTCCAGAGATTGAGAGTCGGTCTGTCTTCATACTAATGGCTTCTAAACTCCTTAACCGTTGCGTACTAAATGATGACCACAGTGTAGTGTTTGTTGCAAGATGCTTACAACGTTATCGATGGAGTGAACACATAATTGGAGCCAATAATCACCTATCTCGCTTACATCCCATAACAAAGAAAGGGATAGTAAACACTTGTTGTAGCCGTCTGTAGTGGTGTTCGGTGTATATAGATTGGATGTATTTGTAAAAGAAATGTATTTAAATATTTATACGAGCTGTCTAGTACACAGTGTACAGGCTTTATTTAATTAATGCTAGATGGCGCTTTGTAGTATACCCATTGATTTTTATTATTTCTGTCCCGCTTACACACGACAAGGAGAGACTGATGTGTGGAGTCGAGAAATTGTATTCATTGGCATCGATTCTGTGTTCATGTAGTCATGTCCTATATTTTGTTTGTAAGTTTCTTGATTTGTCGACATCGTGGTAGAATCTGAGGCGCTATTTTTTTTTTATTCTAAGACTTATTTCAGTTTGATATTATAAAGGGAATTGTTCTAAGGAGCGCGGACTAGGAACTCTCTTATTTTTAAAAATGAGTGTCAATAGGCTAATAAACTTATTTTTAATTTTTTATGAATAAGAGGGTAAATTTATAATAATTGTGTCGAAACAATCTTGAAAGTTTTTGATGGCCCCTGACGTGAGAGCATTTGTACAATGGTTTGACAAATTTATTATTTGTCAACTATCAAAATATATTAAAATTTGAAAAGCAAAATGTGTAATATTTTTAAAATTGAAATGCGATTCATTCTGTTAATAAATCTGTTACTATTTAGTTCGCAAGAGAGATTTGAAAATAATCACGCAAAAGTATTTAATTGAAAATTGACAAATAATACAGACATTGTCCGATACCGTTATGAATGTTTTTAATATAATTTATTAATTTTTCAATATATTGTACAGTTTAGAAATATCCCAGTGCGATCGCGTCCGATTCTACCTTGTACTCGTGTCCAACATGTATGTACATACACACGAACACCACACACTTATACACTGTGTCATATCTCTACAATGAATGAATTGTTAACGCAACAACCGATGCGGTATTACGCATCGTTTCATTGGAAATATCCAGTGAGAACACGACGGGAGGTGACATGGTGATACGGCACACTATCAATATGGGACCTTATAGCTTGCTTCGTGTTTTTAAAAAGGCAAATTTCCAAGGTATTTCGTATACCGCATTTATTATACAAATTTTAATTGACACCCGAATGAACTATGTTACAAAACGGAAATGGTTTTATATGCATGAAATATATCTCTTGTATTTGTCTCACGTTATAGACACTGTACCACACTGTAAGGAGTAACCAGTAGTCCGACGCTTATGGCTTGTCCCGAATAATTGTAAGGCAATTCGGGACATATTGCAATATATTGTTGTGTCGGACGACTGGTAGATAAGAGACTGTGATACTACTGTGCTATTTATTTGTGAACGTGATAAATGTTTTGGTCTCTTTCCATCAAGTCGAGAAGTTAATTCGATGGAACGAGACGAAAGACTTATTACGTTTCTATGAATAAAGATTGTCGGCTTTTATTGTATGTGTCGTGCTCAATTCAGGCCTGGCCATTGAACTGAGTCCAAGAGATGGTATTGATAATTTCGACTATTTAACCTGTAAGCCACTGAGGGTTGTTTGGCCAAAAGAAATTGTAAAATGTATCTCTTATTTGTAAAGATATATAGTGAGAATAATATATAAATACGTAGTTTAGATTATATAGCGACGGTTAGCGACCGATATCTCCTTACACACGTTTATATAGAAGTTGCAAAAAATTTTCCTAATTTTAAATTACTTTTTTTTTTTGGTTTCATCATATAACTTTGTAGTCCTCAGGAATAGCAACGCATGACTATATCCTGGGCATTGCCCTCAGGAATAGCATTGCATGATTGTATCCTGGGCATTGCCCTCAGGAATAGCATCGCATGACTATATCCTGGGCATTGCCCTCAGGAATAGCCTCGCATGACTATATCCTGGGCATAGCATGACTATATCCTGGGCATCGCATGACTATATCCTGGGCATCGAATGACTATATCTATACTGTCTATGGTACTGTTCATGATTACAGGCGACGGTTGCCACTTACCAATAGGTGGACCGTCAGCTTATTTGCCATTCTGAGTACTTGAAAAAAAAAGAAGTATTTAAATTTGGAATGTTTTCTGTCTCATGTAAAATATTGTCCGTTTTAGCGAGGGTGATACATTATTAAGGAAATATTCGTGGCTAACCATGGATAGGTCCCGTGCTGCGCGCACGCCGTGAGGGTGTACTAGTTCGAGCGGAGGCGGACACCATACATTGTGTATGATAGAGGTTAACTGGTGCTTGTAGACGTAATATCCATTTTGGCACATTGCATCCGTGGGCGCATGCAACGCGTCTGAGTCGACTTTGGCAATGTATTGTAAAACAGGAGTTTCTTGCAGGCGTTTGTGATTAATAAATTGCTGGACTCCATTTAATGTAATTGTCTGTAGCTAGTCATCGGCAGCTGTATTTTGTATAATTATTTATTTTATTATTTTATTAGCTAATAATCGCATTCGGCTTAGTATATTAGAATGAGATTTTTTTTTCTAACATCACAATTGTGTTCTCAGTTCGATTTGTCACCAAATGAGCGTTTTATAATGCCGTAGCACAGCGCGGCACGTCACGGCACGATTTTATGCTGACGGTGTATTGGGAAAGAGGTACGTAATATATTATTATGAATGCGTCTTTATATTTTCGTGCACTATCGTATTCATTAGTACGTTATGCTCGTCTGTTATATCGTGCCGTGCCGTGTCGTACCGTGCCATGCCGTGGATATGATAATTGATCGAATTCTGTAACTGTACCTATGTACGTACACGACGTTACAACGGCAAAGTGCTCGGCAAAAAATTACAGTGTTTTTGAACCTATTGTAATTATTCGTGTATTTGGTGACCATTTTGTGAGTCGATTTGAACACATCTTTAGAGTGAAATGAAATAATATTAATAATTATTTATTGGAACTTAGATAATGTGAGCTCCTGATGGTAGTGACATATACAGTAGGTATATGCAAGTTTTGCAGCAATGTGCCGAATAATGTAGTCACAAAACCTTACCGAAACGTCGTCGACACCTCCAGTATAATATGACCGGTATATAGTGAACTGCACGTGTGAAAGAACAGAAATATCAACATACTGCTCGTATTATACATGTATCTAATATTCAATTAATAACTAAACGGCGTTTTGGTTGTATTTCTTTATTCTGACATGAAATTGTAGAACAAAACAATACATGATGCATATTTTGTATGCATAATTATATAGCGGGTGTTATGTAGTGAAAAAGTATTGCTAAAGTTATCCACAATAGGCAGTCCTCTTCAGGGCGTACAGTACGATTTGTGGCTTCGGGCGTGGGTTAATAAAAAACCTCTAAATATTGTAACTTGACGGCAAAAACTGAGACGAAACTCTTTACACAGGCGGAATTTGAAATTGTTTGCATTTTTAAAAAGTATTCTACGAGTGAGGCTAAACTTTTGCTAAATGGAACATGGATTTAAATGTAGAGGATTAATTTAATTCTTCGATGTTAGACAATTGGTCGCGACCTTTTACTGTAGCTGGGTTTTCAAATTTGTGGTATTTCAAACCATATAATTTTGTGTAGAATATTTAGAACTGATAGCACGCTAACGATTTCGAATTCAGCCTGTACTGTCTCGTTTATTTATTTATTTATTTTTTTTTGATAAAATCGCTTTTAAATAGTTGAAAGATGTCACTGTAATATAATTACAGTTTACAAGTATTATTCACATACAAAAAGTATGAACGTTTACGACGCTAAATCATTCGATTTATAGAAGGTAAGCAGCAGCCGAACAAACAGTAGGCTGACTTGGTATCGAACGGGGAACAAGTTTACATCGCATTGGATACATGTGAGTTTGACGGTACATTGTACAATTTTGGTGTCTTTATTTGATGTCCATTCGATGTGATTGCGATTTGAAAGCAATTCGATTGTATTATCGATTGTTATTGTATATTCATTCGGATAAAAATACTGTTAAGTACTGAACACTGTCCAATTTTTTTTTTAGCCAAGGTATAGTAAAGACTTACGAACGGTATACAATTATGCCGGGAAATCTATCGGAATTCACAAAATTAAAAAAAAAGTGAGTTAAGTAAAAACAAATTAGAATAAAAGAAAAACAATATTAAATTAAATAAAAGCAAAAAAAAAAGAACTATTAAATTAAGTTTTAATTCAGTTCTTATATTGTATATTTAAATACATAAATTTAAATAATTAAATTTACATTATGTAAAGAAAAAAATCTTTAAAAGTTTGGGAAAATCCCTAACGAGTTTTTCCCAAACTATTCGACCACAAGCTGTATTTGTAAAAATTGTAAGGATAGACTGCACTCTTATCTGCCGACCCCGCAAGGGAGTTGTTTTAAAGATGGCGATCAGTCTGATATGTTATTAGTAATTACTAATATTTATAAAAAGAGAAATCCTGACTGACTTCTGACAGAGCGCCTTGGAAGTATAAAGTATCTATTAAAAATAAAAATATTATAATCAATCTGCAATAATTAAAGCTATCGCATAATATACATACGCAATAAACTAGGTACAGTCAAGTTGACAGCCTCCTTATTTGAAGGTGGTAATAATATAAAAAAAATAAAAAAATAAATGTAAAGTATATATTTATTAATTTATTTGGAAAAAAAAACTTGTAATCGCATGTATGTAGACAGGTGACAAACGGTTTTATTCCAAAAATGATACGACTTCAATTTTAATGTTTTGACCGTATAGGTCAATGTATAAAAAAAAAATTGTTGTGGCGCGAAAATGTAACAAAAAGAATTCCACTTCGAAATTCAAATATAAAAAGAATACAAGTGACTTTTCCGTTATATATATAGAAAGAGGATGTGAGGTACAATTCTTAATCTATGGTTACGGACGATCTATCACGTATGACGTCAAATTTCATGCGTCATAAAATTTATATCCAGCAACAATAACGTTAGTCCCATTTCCACCATTGTTACTGTACCATATTTGATTAATTATAGAATCGTTTGACTCGCCTACTCCCACATAAACCCTACATAGAACGCGTCTAGAAGGATAAACCATTATATTTTATGGTTAAGTAATTCATACGGATAATGATTAAACATATTTATTTTGAAATAAATTTAATTGAATAGACTTATACATGCCTTAATAATAAATGTTCTAATCTGGAGACTAGTCTCCCCATAAGAGGAGAAAATAGTATAGTTATGGAGCATCCATTATCCACGCTAGATGTGTTAGTATAGGTAATCCCTTTATCTCTTTTGCACTTGTACTGCGCTTTTTTTCTGTAGCTCCCTTACTATGTAAATCTATGACTGCTTGGGGATGTCAGCACACTGGTTATACGAGCTACCTTAGATTATGTAGATACGAGTGTCTCCATACAAATACGACAGAAGAGATTAAAAAAATAAAAAAACGATACAAAATTCTTACGAATATATTTGAAAGAATAAGATAAACAATGTTTACTTTAACGGAATATTTTAATTTAAATTTGAGTAATGACGTAAAATGTTTTAATTATTAAATCGCCAAAAAAGGCCGCTATTTTATTTATTTATTTAGTTTATATATTATATTTTAATTAATACATATATATTAACTTATAAACAACACGTACATATGGTGTATTTGTATTGTATTAGATAAAATAGTTCTAAATTCATATTTAAAAATCGAACAGTGGGTTTACTCTAGACATAAATTCTAATGAATCGATATTGAAATTAAGACTTCGCACTCTGGCATTGCAACACTAGCGACGTACTGATAGATCTATATTATGTAACTTGCTAATGCAAATTATTGTAAACCGATATTAATTATAACTTAATTCCTGGCAGTTTCATGAATAGTAGTATAAATTTGTTATTGGAAGTAGATTGGATTGATATTACATTTAAGAGAGGACTTGCTGATCTGGGACATTTTTAATCCCAATTACTTGAAGTACTGAAGTTTTTTTTTTTTAAATAAAAAAGTGACTAAATTTTGGCACGTTTTTGATACTCTATGCTCTATCTACATAATCTAAGGTATATTGCTACTCTGTGACCAATTAGCACGTTTAAAGTAAAACCTAAGAAATGGCGGGAAAATAAGGGATCGCTTGTTTGGTCGAACCACAGAGTATTTAAAAAATGGTCTAGTTCAGTTATAGAAATATGAAGCGACAAAATGAATATTTGTATAATTGTATTATGATACCTTTAATACTGGATCGAACATGTGAACGCGCGGTTGGTATGGAAGTTTAAAAATATTGTAGAAAATGGTAGACTTGCAATACGTGTGGTAATGGTATGGAACAAGTAATAAGATATGTGCCTTCAATTGGATGAGTTGCCCCAAGCGTGCTCTCTTATGGAAACTTAACATTATAATCTATGTCAGTTGAATTACATGGTGTTATGTAGGTCACCATTAGCATCGTTCTAAAGCAGTATTTTAATGGTGAACTTAAACATTTTTCCCTTAAAGTAACATGCGTCGAAAAACGACGAAATTTTTAAATCCCCCATAAAACTGCGTTTTTTTTTAATGTAACTTACAAGGTTACAGTGTACACTGTATTGCCTATAATAACGTTACCTTTCCTGACGTCTAAGGTGTTACGCCCCTGTACCCTGTAATTTTACTTACTGTTTTAGTTTAATTTAAATGACTGCTTAATTAAATTTTACTGCTATATGCCACCCTTCCAACCGAAACACATCTATGTAAGCACAGCTACTTCCAGGTAAAAACACGAATGGGACAGAGGTACCCAGACGAATTTTGTACAAAGTCTCCCTCTGTTAGAGTCCAGTATAATTAGTATCGTAGACTTATTTTTGTCATGTTTCTTTGGGAAAAATGTCCAGTACCACTGTTACAGTGCTATAAAAATGCTAATGAGTTATAACTCTGTTACTTAATCCATTCTGACAAGAGTCCTACAGCTGTCACTCGAGTTAGGTATCAATAGACTAAACGGCAACGTTGTGATTATGTAATGTACGTTGTGAGTCCTGTCAAACTGTATTTTATTAATTAAGCCGTGTACATGACTGTCTTTGCCATAGATATAAGTTTAAGTATCTTTAGAGAAAATAAAGTTTCAATGACATTATATAATTAAAGTCTCGCGAACAAACGTACTAAAAAAAAAAAAAAATTAAAGTCTCGCAGGCAGCGTGGTCTCCGACCTTAGCCTGTTCCAAAACGGAACAAACGTACTAAAAAAAAATTAAAGTCACGCATTATGGTTCTTAAGTTGTCCGAGGCAGTTGTTGGTTCAGAGATGCTTTCAATACAGTTTGGAAGTGGATTAATAGTATTTTCATTATATTAAGAGTGGCAAATAAGCTGACGTCTCATTTGGTGGAAAGTGTCAATGGAGCGACACAGTATATTCTGTGACATCCTTTGTCACGTATTAGAGACGATAGTTTCTGGTGAGTCACTTAACTACCAACAGTAACTTAATAAGTAATAACATTATAAATATGAAAGTTTTACGTTAAAATAGACAGTTGATTTTCATTATTTTAAATTCCGACGGAGTATATTTTTGCTAATAATTACAAAGTACAAATTTTGAAGACCGTTTCATAACAGTTACAGAAATTGAGACGCATCTTTGGATCAATAACCTGCCTTAATATAATTCATATATGACCGCCATCTTGTAGAAGGTGCCCATGCGTTGCTTGTAAATATTTTAGAAATAGAAAATTTCTATTGTTTTTACTAAACAATGTGTCAACCGAAATAATGACCTTACGTTCTAAGTATTTATTGTAAGAAGTACACTCGACGACACGAATTCTGTCACTGTGTAGGTATGTAAAAAAATTAAAAAAAAAAAACTATTATATAAAATTATAAACTGTATATTGTATACAAAAAATATGCATTTAGCTATAATTAGGTCATATAATATGGGACGGCTGTGTTGTTGGGTGTACGTTGTTCGTTGCGTGTACTAGAGTATATTGTTAGCTATTGTTATTGTACATAATATTGTACATATGCACTTGTACAGAACCGTGTAAATATCGTACCAGATATATATATATTTAATAATATTATAAATTTGATCTAAAAACAGTTTTAAAATAAAAATTAATAAAAAAAAAACACCAAAAAAAGATAAAATAAAGCGATGGCTTGATATAGCAATTATTGTTTTTTATTTCATCACCTTTGTATATATATATATGTATTCTTTATTGCACTAAAACATACAGTAACAACAATAAGTTAATAACAATGTTAGCAAAGGCGAACTTAAACTCTAAAAGAGATCTCTTCCAGTCAACCTAACGCAGTGGCATAGGAAGTAGTGAGTGGGCAGTAGTAGTGCAAGACAGAAATTTGTCCTGTTCGAAATTCAACACCTTGTAGGTCACTGGAAATGAAATGTTGTATATACCAGACAGACTGTAGGTATATATGTATACCTATCGTCATCATAGCACCAGTTAATTGTCCACTGCTAAATACAGGCCTCTTCAGGATTTTTGGTAGTAGTTGCCACGCTTAGCAGGCGGGTTTTTTTTTGATGGGTGAAAATGATATGGTAACCCCTGTCTGCGCTAACGGGATACGCTGGCGGAGCACCAGTGAAGGGTGATAGGTGAGAATGAAAACAGGCCAGTTAGCCCATCATGATGAATTCATCAGGAATTAACCATGATAGTTTCCAGGGGGAACCGCGAGGAGGTCGACCTGGTTGGGTATATTACTAACAATGGGATTCTCAATCTCCATTACTAACAATCCCTTTCCTCCCTGGCAGGCGGGTTAACCTCAGTTAGGCTTTGGTAACGTGTTAAAAGGGACACTACTGCCTATCCCTCGACCTGTTAGACTTAATCGCCTCTTGTCTTCCCCGTGGATATAGCCGTGTGGTCCCGGCTATGCTATACTATTCCGGGACCATTTTGAAACCAATTTGGAACATTTATCTTAAAGTGCTCTTAAAGAATCTTAAATGTTTTTTGTTATTGAAATAACTGCATAAAAATGGCTTCAATAAAAAGTTTTTGTAGAAGTAATGTTTAAAATTAAATTTTATTAATAATGACACTGGCCATGTGGTACCGGCATAGATTAGGTTACCCCCTTCCTTTCCTGTGAGTCATAAGAGGCGACTGAGGGTATTTAAAGACAGAGGAATGGGCAGCAGCGTCCCTCTTTAAACATCTCTAAGAGCCTAACTGCGGTTGCCAACCCGCTTTCCAAGCGTGGCAACTAATGGCAAAACTCCCCTAGGGAGATTTGGGGAAAATTTATTTGCGACAGTGGACAGTAAACGGCTGTATGAATAATGACAATTCGTTGAAAAAAAATTTATTACAAGGAACCTTTATGGGGATGTGGTGCTTGTTGTCACACGTTCTATGGGAAGAAATCGCATGATTCCAGCACACGACGATGTATGAACAAGGTAAATAATTGTGAAAATCAAATCAGAGTTGGTAACAATCGCGTAATATAGTCGTAAGAAATTCAAACGAATTGATAAGCTCCTTTTGGAGTTCTATTGAAAAGAATGGTCAATATTGGGCACCATAATAATAAACTACGATGGTTTCCAAGGTGACCGCGTGGAAGTAGACCTGTCAAAAATATTGCAAAGGCAAAACAAAAAAAAAATGGAAAATATCCATTATATACACCCCATTACCAGTGGCTGACTAAATGGAGGGCGGAAGGGGCGGCCTATCCCGCCCCTTTGGACTCTCATCTTCTTAAGTCTATCTTCATTTAACTCTCATTTACATTTCATTTGCAAGATTTTAACTAAATAAACATGAAAATGTGAACTGAATAATTACATAACTTTTTAAAGTGGGCACTTCATTTTGCTTTGCTTTTTCAAACCTAAGACGGGCTTAGCCTGTTATTGCACATAGTTTGCTTTGTCAAAAAAAAATAACAGCTTCAGTTGCCACAGAATACTTTTTTTTTATAGAACTTAGAATGGCAAACACGGCCCACCTGATTGAGAGTGGTAACCGTCGCCTATAGACATGAGCAGTACCATGGACATAACAGAGTATACTGTTTCGCCCATGATACCCCCCAGGCGTTGCCATTCCTGAGGACTCAGGTATTATTCCTCCGAACCCAGTAAATTCACGCCATATTCCACCCTTCAAACCGAAACACAGCCATGCCAACACAACTACTTTACGGTAGAAACACGAATGGGACAGAGGTGCCCAAGCAATCGACTTTTGTACAAAGTCTCTCTCTGGTACATGGGAGTAAATCGAATATTTCGGTTTTGTAACAATTTTTTTTTATACCACTGAGGTGGCAAACAAGCATACAGCCCACCTGATGGTAAGCGGTTACCGTAATACAATTAATGCACTCCTAGTTTTTTAAAGGTACTGTACTAAAAAGGTACAAAGGAACTCTATGGTATATATGTATGTATGTATGTTAATGATGTGCGTTTACGTTTTGATGATGAACGGATGATAATGATGATGAATAAATACACCTAGTATTTGAAGCGGTTTAACTAGGGTAAATAAAAATAGATAATAATTTGAAGCGTTGATGTAATATAAATTTGATGTGATGCGCTGAAGGTTGTTTTGCGAGTCCGTTACAATTTTGAAAACCTGAAAGGTCATGTAAATTTCTCCTGCGTTATGATTGGTGTTCTCGCGATGTCGTGATGAGCGGCTTTTGTGACTGGTTGATGTTGTGTGTGATTATCTATTAATAACTTAGCAGTCGTCCATTGGTTTTACCGCTGAAACCGCTTCATTATACGCAGCAGTGAATAATATTTATTGCATATTGTTAATGATTTAACAATGTATGTAAGAAACGCTCGATGTGTGAGTTCAACTCGCATCTGACCGGTTTTATTTATGTCTTTGACTGATAACTAATTTTAATGTATTGTAAACTTTTACAAACATAAACACAAGTATTCCTTGGACAAATCTGTCTGGAACGGTTAAAATGTCAAAATAAATTCGATACATCCTCCATCGAAGTTGGTAGTTTAAAAATTGATTAAGGGAATATTGCAAAATACCAACTGCGGAATCTCAACTTTCGCATCGCAACAGTGTTAATAAATATACGACAGGGCACGTAACGACAAAGTCCGGGCAAGCCGCTGATAGAAAGTGACACATACGACTCTCCGGGGACCATTCCTCTTCTGGACAATAAATAGTTGGCCGGTGGAAACTTAATTTTATTTCTGGAACACTGACACGAGCAAATAACTATTAGTTCTGATGGAAAGCGGCAATTGTCGTCCAACTGAAATAAACAGCGGTGTATATTGCTCTTAATGGGTGAAAATAGAATGGAAACTCCGCCTGTGTGATTGTTTTACGTAAGGCGGGGTAGACACTAGTGAGGGATGTTATATTTATATTTTTTAAATTATGAAAATGGAATGGTAAACCGGCTTGCGATATTTGTATACACTACTCTTACTTCATTTTTTCGCACTGTATAACTATGTGTAACGGATGAACACGTTATTTATTGAAAATTATATGTATTACAATATTAAACAACAAAACAGTATTATATGATATCACTAGGACACTCATCGCCCAACTACTCTCTCGTTCGTTAGTCGCGAACTTTCTCGAAGCGCGAGAGGCGCGCTCCTATTGGTCGGTCGCGCCTGCGCTGTACGTTTAGATGGGTCTCATGGCGTAGGTACTTACTATGCGTGCGTAATATATATACTTTTCGGTGTTACATATGTTAAAATAAATGCTGTGAATATCTATAATAGGCATGTGCATTAATATTGTATTATATTTAATGTTTGTTACACCTATATGTTATAATGCAATATGCTGTTGGTGTTCCTTTAAATAAATAAATAAACCCTGTGCGGTCTACCAATTACATACATCTTGAAATCTCAAGAAAAATAACATTGTTCATCGCGTGCCGAAAACAAAATACCTACAACTATACTGCATAGAAGGAAGGATAAACAACGTGACGGAACGGCGTATGAAAAATGTTACAAAATGATGCGTACAGCAGTCGGTGATTACGTTGCGCTGTCTGTTCCACGTTAAATCTATCTTATTATAAGTATATTATAATAAATCTGTAGAGAGGTCAATTCTGTACATGAAATATATTTCCAAAATAACTATCAGCGGGTGATTAATGATCGATACTGATGCCAAAAATGCAATCAGTAAAATTTTTGTCTGTCTGTCTGTATGTTTATATTTCGTTTCCTGATGGAAAGTGATAACCGTCGCCTATAGACATGAGCAGTACTATAGACATAACAGAGTATACTGTTTCACCCATGATACCCCCCATACGTTCCTATTCCTGAGGACTCAGGTGTTATTCCTCTGTACCCTGTAAATTAACTGCCATTACCCACACTTCAAACCGAAACACAGCCATGCAAACATAATTGCTTCACGTTAGAAACACGAATGGGACTGAGGTGCCCAAGAAAAAGACTTTTGTTATAAAGTTTCCTTTATTCGCTAGAGGTGTGATTTGGTTTTATTTTTTGAAAAATTTGAAAAAATGATTAAGCAATATGATGTCTTGATTATAACATGAATAAAAATACTGCTATTACAGCATATTTTTCATATGTTGAATCCATGATTAGATATGGATTGCTACTTTGGGGTAATGGCGTTGATATTGGGAAAATTCTAGTCGCGCAAAAAAGTTGCATACGTGCTATATGTAATATTGCACCTGATGTTTCTTGTAGGCCTTATTTTAAGTATCTAAATATATTACCTGTTCCCAGTCTGTATATACTTGAAGCGGGTATATTTGTGAAATTAAATAAACACATGTTTGCAGAAGCAAAAGAGCAAATACAAAGAAGCGCAAGATACCCTAAAAAACTAGTGACCAATACAATTCCTAAAACTAGCCGTTTATTAAGAAATTCCTATATGATGTGTTTGAAAATCTTTAACAATATACCTACGGATATAAAGGAACATCCATTAAATAAATTTAAAATTGTGTTACGTAAATGGTTACTTAGCAAAAGTTTTTACTCTGTTGACGAATTTTTCAAGAAAGAATAGATAAATATCTAATATAGTTGTCGATGCATAAATTAAATTAATCAATTCCTGTCAAAATGTGACATTTGCATGCTATTCTGTAATGGCTAAATAGGCACG